TAGTATTCTTTTTAACAAATAGCAATATAGTCATGTAATTTTAGTTTTATTCAACGAGTATTTATTTTGTATGGGTTAATGCATCAATAAAATCTACAAATACATTTATCAAATATAAAATTTAATATATAATAACACGTCTAATGTTATTTTTTATAAACATTAATATACATTCCTTATATATAGATTTTCACTTTGGTGTTTCTTTTATTTTATTATTCATAAATATGATGCACAATAATTATATTGAGACATAAATTCCAAAATTTATGGAATGGTTTACTATCAATATAAAATTCAAATATTAATCTTCCAAAATTAAAATCAATGAAATTAACGGTAAAATCCTTTTAATTTAATTTTTTGATACTAAAAACTTGGCCAATTGGTAGTGGTTTAGAATTCAGTTCTTATGAAAATAAAAACATATCAAACCTTCGACAACTGGTTTAGAGTATGGGGGTTAAAGCGCATAATTGATGGGAGTTAAGAGCATAATTTCAAAAAAGTGAACATAATTTCAAAAAAAATTATTTAAATAAAAAAATTTATTGAAATTATCCCATTTTCTTTATAATAGATACGAATGCAATACTAATTTTGTTGCTAAACAATAAATTAATTGTCATGGACAAATGCTTTTCATATAATTTTTTTGCGAAGTGCGATAACTACTTGTTCATGTACAATAAAACCAACAAAGTTACATGTATAAGTAGTAAATATATTATTTAAATTAGTTAGTTTAAATTATGTAAATATTCTATCAGGTGTCTTTGTGTTATTATTCGCAATAATTGTAATTACCAAAATAATGAAAGAATAGTTTTTATTAAATAGAAGGACATAGTCAAAGTTGTTCTTAAAAAAATTTTATCCACTAATTAAATGGACACGAATTTTAATAGTTATCCATAGTTTAAACCGTGAATACGAATTTTATAATTAATAGAAGTTTTAGTTTGTTAGATTTTTTTAATGATATTAAATAAATGTGAAAAAAAAGTAAAAAAAAGCTGACGGTTAAATGAGATAATAAATATTACTCCGATACAACAAAAATTAAATACCAAATAAGGGCCACTTGTCAAACACACAATCAACTTTCCTTAAATGACAATAAAACTTGTAGGACCCACTTTAAAACTTTCTACTTTTAGTAAGTGTGTTTTCTAATTATATAGGGCAATGCTATATGTACACCCCTTTTTAATAAATTACACAAAGGGCAATGCTATATGTACACCCCTTTTTTACACACAAGGGGGTGTACATATAGACACCCCCATTATATAGTAGATATATATATTATATGATTCGATAAATAATATAATTATTACTCGGTTAATATACAATGTAGCGGTTGTTGTCTTAATTAATCTAAAAAACTAATAAAATATTTAATCATGAATGAGATAGGGTGGTAGGTTTTATTTAATGATCTGCAGCCACATATAAAATTTATTAGGTTTTGTTTAATGACTTGCTAACAATTATATATATAAGTCGGATACATAACATTTTTCATTTTGTTTTTTAAATGAAATTAAACAAAAATATATATATATATATATATTTTTTAAAATACAATCTTAATTTCACTCATTTTTTATAAATAGAACTACCAGAACAATTTTAACACTTAGCAAAAAAAAAACAATTTTAACATATATTATTATTATTATAATAATAATAATTATTATTATTATTGTTGTTGTTATTATTATTATTAGTATTATTATTAATAATTATTTAATAACAAAAAAAATCATTATACACTTTAGATTTTTAATTATCAATATTATCAATTAACATTTTAGTATTTTTTTTTTATATTACGTTATATTTTTTTACCCTTACTTATTCACAAACTCATTTTTTCTTTTTATTTTTTGAAATTTTTTATATACCAGAAACGCTATACCTAGAATTAGAATTAGTAGGGGGAGTAATTTTCTCCTAGTGAATCGCACCGGCTACACACTAGTTAAATAACAAATAGATATAGCTAGTTTTAGTTGGTCGCGGGCCTCGCGGCCCTTCCGATTTATCTCACATCCTTTTCCTCCATAATATTTTGTACTTAAAAATCTGTTGATTGCTATTAGAATTACACAGTAAAATTTCTAACTAGGGAGCCTACTCGAAATCTGTCTACCCCAAAAACCTGAAAAAGTTACCACAAGAAAAGCTTTACCTTTCATAACACGGGAGAAAGAACTCAAATTTCCCACTGACTACAAAGCAAACCTGCAACCGGTCCCATCCAGAAATCGATCTGTATGCCAACCTTTGGCCTGAAGCTCGGAAATAAACGGCGAAAACATGTCGCTCATCCTCTCATAAGCATCTTGAAAGTAATTTTCACGGTTTTCTTCGAAAGAATTTTCAGTCTCGGCAGCATATGCAGCGACTAACCACCCCCTCAAAGCATCCTCACCGGTTGCATTGCGCTCGAGTATCATGTCTGTCCATTTTTTCCCGCGCTTCAGAATAAATTTTTCGCCGGGAAAATTTTCTTTGACTTTGTTTAGCTCGGACGGCTTGAAAACTTTGCGTAGAGGCCTTCCCACTTTTACGCGCCCGGCTTCTTCTATTAGCCGTCCCGGGAATAAAAGGTCTTCTTGATATCGTAAATTGGCAGGGGTAGATACCCGACCACTCTGGTTCAAATTACCAACAAGAGTTATAAGTGGGAATATTAATAAGAGTTAATTAAAAATATCACCACTAAGGCATATCATTTATAAAGTAGAAACATAGTTTAAAATTTGTTACTCTTTTACAATTGCTCCTTCAAGTGTGGTATTTGCAATACTCAAGGGTGGTAATGTTAGTTATCACGATTGATTGAAAAACTAAAATATCTCTTATGGTTGCTTATTTACATGGTAATTACCTTAAAAAACTCTGCAACAATCAGTGCAGTTCTTTGGGGATTTAGAGTGTTGACGGGAGTTGCTCGCATTTCCTCCCTCACACAATAAATATGCACCAAGGACAATAAGGGTCCAGCCACAAGCTGGAAAACGATCGGCATTAGCAGAGAAAATTGTCTCCCATGATTAAAAAAGCGATAAAAAATCTAGATAGCTAAACATATTTATATCAGCCGCACTTCTGGAAATATAGCTAAAGATATTACCAGTTATCCTCATAATTAAATTTAATCCTTTTGTATTACTGCCAAGAAATAATTTTCAGCAAATCTCATTTGGCCTCAAAAACACGAAAAAACATCATAAGAGAAGCAAAGGTGCACAAACACAAGAACTACCTCATATCATCTCCGCAAAAGAAACTGAAATATCAGTTTTCTCCCTCAGGCACAAGATGCATTTATTGTGGAAAAGAAGACAAAAAGAAAACAAAAACGAGCAGAATGGAGGGAGACCTAGATTCTTGATCAATACTGACAAAAAACTGGATAGCGACTTTAGACGATCATCACTCCAATTGAATTTAGATTCGAAAGTGATAGTACCTTCCCCTGAGTAGATGAACAAACAGTAGAAGCTAACTGAATCCCAGCTCCTATTCCAAGAACATTAAACAGAGTAGAAATTGCTTCTCCTTTTGCAAAAAGGTCACTCAGGTTTCCCTCTTTGGCAAATGCAGAATATATGGGCAACCTTGTTGCTCTTGCTGCGACAACTGCCATACCCTGAGAAATAATGACATCCTTCATGATTAAAATGGAAAGCTTAAATGGCTTTATTGAATACAGATCGATACAAAAGCAAATAATTATCCCACCTTAGCAAAATTGCCAAGACCAGCCATCTCGAGAAACAAGTGTGGACATAAAGGAGAAATTATTTCCAAACCGGTACCAAAGTCGTAAAGAACATCAGCTGCAAGCCGAATGAGATATTACTTTCAAACACAGCAGACGATCAAGATGATGTAAATTATTAAATAGCAAGATACAGAATTAGTACAGACCCAAAACCCTCCAACTCTTAGGTTCCGAGTCCATCCTTGCACCCAAATTGCTACATATGAGTTTTCCAACATGTTGCATGCCATCTTTTAATATCTGCACTACATCAACACATTATGACCCAGCCCATAACAGAAAGAATCTCACATCCATAAAAATACAGAAAAATGATTCCAGTTATTAAATCGTTATTACCCAGCTAACTGCAGTAGCCTGTGCCGGTGTGGGCCGCAAGCCTGCAGCAAAAAGAAGTGACTGAAAGGGAATAAGTTACTGAAAAGCATCCGTCATAGGCAGTGCGTCAATAGGTACAGGAACAATAAATAGAACAAAAATAATTTCAGAAGACCTGAGTTGATAATACAGATAACGTTGCACTGGAGAAGTGCTGCAAGGCTCGGAATTGAGTGTATCGGAGATATCCCTCGTTCACACTGTAGATGGAAGACAGTGACAATTTAAACTACATGTGGGACCCAGCTCCTGTTCAGTCAAAGGATATGACGAGTGCCTAAAATTGCCGTTTACCTATAAGGATAACCTGATGGAAAGAACTTGTTGAGAAAGGACTCAACTATCTTTTGGGAAGCAGGTCTTGTGTCATTAACTATCGTCACCTGAAGTCGATTGAAAAACAAATGGTTGAAGTTGAATTGATGTGTACCAGGATATTAGACAAAACTGATAAGGACAAAATTTAGGCTACAATAGCCAGAAAATTATACAAGGAACACTGTGCGTATAAACTATAAATCGAGTTCATTCGAGACACACACACAAATCTCAGCGAAATAAACTATAGTGAAAATAGTTCCTATCGAACCCATCAAATTGCTCGCACCCTTTACCTTCATCAACATCACCAAATTCAAGTTACACAAGAATACTCGTCTATCGTGATAAAATAAACACCTAAAGCCAGAGCTTAGTATCTTCTAGCACCGACATTTTACCTTTAAATTTTTAGTCAATTTAACAGATAGCCCAAGAACATTTAACAACCGAAAAAACAAAAAAACTAAAAAAAAAAAAAAAAAAAGAAACACAGACAAATTGGAAGAGGAAACACCAGAGCTACTGCTCCAAAAAGAGAATAAATCATGGAGGCAAGCAAACCCATGCTTCAACAACCAAGAGCTAAAATACATAAGTTGCACAATGCATACCAAGTGTTTGTACAAATGCCCGAGCAGGATTACAACCGGAAAAAGGAACTTACAGAGAGTTGGCCGTCGGGCTCGAACTGAAAGTGGCGGGCAACAGAATCGGAGGTCTCGACCCAGTGAACCGTCTCCGGCGGCGGATCATTTGGTTCCTTCTTTTTCATCTTGATTACTCCCTGTAAGGATTAATATATCAATAGCAGTAGAGTTGACGCACAAGAACAGGTGTATGGAAAGTCGAAATCAAAGTGAAACATTTTCATACAGAGAGAGAGAGAGACCAAAATGTTCATGGATATGAGCTGAAAGGGTCGGCGTCCGCCGGCGGAGTCGGGTTTTGCGGTGACTGCTATAACTAACTAATTTTGAGTTATTTTCAATGAATTAATCTGAAATATATGGACACTGGTATGACACACGTGTAGTGTGTGCTTGAAAACCAATATTTTGAGTTATGTTTAATATCGTAATAACGTTCAATTTTTAATATATTTGACTTAAGAAGAGACGTAAGTTTTAAATCTTTGTTTATATTCATTTATGTTTATACGTTCGTATGACTCAATTTATGAAGTTATTCACATTTATTCACCAATAGTGTATTGACACGTGTCGGACAATAAATACAATTTGAACACAATGGTAGATGACTCTATAAAAAAAAACTTATCATATTGCTCCATACAATTTTTTTACACATACGTTACAAAGCTTACAAAGCACAATAAAATTGTATTGAACTTTCACTAGGAAAATCTCAGATTGTTAATTTGTAGAGTAGGTGTTTGTATTAGTTTTGATGGTACATAACTAAAAAAAATAAACTTATCTTATTCACTGACAAAGATCCTAACACCAAATTATTCAGAACATCAACAAAAAATGAACCAAATAAAACAAGACGAAAAAAAGTTTCTTCATCACACCCCTAAAGAAAAAAACACGATGAAAAATCTATAAGTAAAAACATCTCATCAGTTCCGACTTGTTTCCATCTCGACGCCGTCGTTTTTGTCGTTATAGTCCTCGTTTT